CCAATAATCTTCTCTTTCTACTTTTCTCATGTTCATATCACACATCCCAATCAGTAATACTCTAGATTGAGTGGTTCTTGGGAATTCCATTGGGTAAAAATTGATAAAAAAAGAAACACTTTTTTACAGATAAGTAAGTTTCATTTCACAATTTTTTTGAGAGTCAGAATGTCTAAGGAGCGTCATTGTTGTCCCAGCTTACAGTTGAAGCCTGTGGGGAAAACACAAAAGGGCTGAAAAGACCTGAGGCACCAAATTCAGTTTTGAAGAGCCCTCCGATGTACCCAGAATTATGAATCCCTTTATGTGAACCGAGGAACTCATTTCTGTTTTGAAAGCATTCTAAAGTGTCTGGAATTATATCACTTGACTTGTACAGCTGATACTCTTCAGGGATCTGTTGAAACAGCTTTTGTTTATTTCTTCATTTGCATCATTCTTTGGAGCAAGAATATGTCACTCAAGGTGCTTCACATAGCTTCTATAATTTGGAGACCTTTTTGTACGTTTAAAAAAAAGTTTGATGTCTGGGAAGAATGTGAGTCCCAAAAATCATGTTTATTCCCAGAAATTTTAGAATTTTTTTTTTTGAAAAATGTTTTTCTGGTTTGCACAATATTTTATAAAAAAAAAAATATTTATGATATTTGTTCTTTTTTGGCCTTTTTTTAGTTTGCATGACTTTTACAAATTGCCAACACACCCTCATAAATAATGGACTGTTCCATTTTGATCACTTTGTGAAAAACAGAAAAAAAGAAAGAAGTGTTTAACATCTCCTGCTAATACCTTATAAATAATGGTCTATTCTGTTTTGATCTCATGAAAAGACAAAAGACATCAATGTCACTATTTGGTTTCAATGAGAAATTGAAATAAAGAAGGAAAGATAGAAGTCTTTTCAAATCTTTTTATTTTAATTCTTAAAATAATTCATTTTGATAAAGCTGATAAGCTCAAATATTTAACAATTGAAAAGAAGAATTTCTACAGATATTTACATTATTCGTACTATTGTCCTCATCTTTGTCGCCATATTTATCACAACGTTTCGGCTGTTGTACGCTCCGGCCTTCGTCAGGTGTTTGGAATGTCGAACTGAACCATTTATTTTGCTCACTGGGGTAGACTGTTCTAGTTCCACATGCCATGTTTGATGGATGTCAGTTATCAGTTATCCCCTCTTAATTTTCCTCTGTAATTTGTAAATAATGTACATAATACCTCATCTCAGAAATATAGACAGACTCAGATATTTTATTGTCTTAGATATCAGCATGAGCTTACTCAAGCATTAACTGAAGAATTAAGCTTAATCAGATATTTCAAATAGGAAAACTAAAATTTTAATCGGTTAAAACTAGTTAATATTGTTATTATTATTGTTATTATTAATACTTTTTTTTACCTCTTTTGCTGAGTTGAAAAAATGGATTTTAATTAAAAATGACATCTTCTGATCTCCTTTGACTTTGGAGGTTAGCACCACCCCTCCTACCTCATTTTCTACCCAAGTTACCCTTGGATAAATTTATCTCCAAAAATGTAATTGCTTGGATGCAATACAGATCGTAAAGGTCATAAAAGTAATTCTCCCTTCAATGACCTCTGGTGTACTTGGATGTTGAATTTGACCTTATCCACCCTCCCCATCTTTGAGATTAAAAGATATTTTGTACCCCTTATCTTGTTTGCTTCATTTGGCTAACAATTACATGACATGTGGTAAGGTCAAATGACATTCCAGATTAGTCACGCATAGTCAATTAATCAAATAATAAAAAGGACTCTTACTCAGTTTGAAATTGAAACAGAATTAAATTGTTTATTTACAATAATTTGGTATGTCAAAAAGGAGATGTGTGTAGGAAGTGGCTCAAAAATGTTCTTGAAAAACAGTAGAAAAAGTCATAAAAGTCCTTGTTAGAGAGGGTAAAGTGTCAGGGAAATTCACAAAGGGTTCACACCATTCTTTAAAGAGAGAAGCTAGAATTGTCAGTTTTTTGTTAGATCATTTGAAATTTGGTAAGTAAAGAGCATTCATTCAGTTGAAGCATGAATGGAATTTATGGAAGAGTATCAGATGTTTGTACTGCCTTATAGATTTTTTTTTTAATCAATTTTCCTCAAGTAAGGCAGTAATGCCACTAAGATGCAAGGAGCTACTGAGAGTGAAAAAGAAGGATAAGACTTTAGAAGAAGCCTGAAATCCAATCTTAAACAGGAAAGAAGGGATAAATCTCTATTCCTGCTCAAAAAGACTAAGGAGAAATGTGACCATAGGAGGAACCAGGCCATAGGAAAATCTGTTTTCTCTTAAATGAAGAGTGTATGTTGACTTAAGAAAAACTTGGTTCAGTAATCATTGTTTCAGACAAACATGTCCAATATTATATGTTTTTAAGGTTTTCTTTATGTTTTCCCAAAGTACTTTGAGGACCAGGGGTACCTCAGTGGGATCTTTTCACAACTTGCACTCTTTTAATAACATCACAATAAATAGTGATTCAGCAGGTTGTTGGGTTCCCTTTTAGATTTTCTAGCTGCTCATTAAACTTTTTTCCTCTATGCTCCTTGCCTTATCAGTGGAGTGGTTGATCATGGCTCTCCACAATTTCCTGTCCTTTGAAGCTTCTAGTAAGGTTTGTCTTTTTGCCTTCTCTCCTAATCCCTGTTCTTCCAAATAGTTACCCAAGCTTGTTAAGTAGGTTATTTGCTGTTTTCTTCCATCTCTCATGCTTTTCATGTTCTGTGAGTGTCAAATTCCTTAAGCTCTCTTTTCTCATTATATGCCCCCAAAATTTCAATTTCTCATGCTCATTTTTTGTTCTCATTTTCCTTAAAACATCTTCATTACTCACCAGTTCAGTCCATAATATTCTCAGCATGCTTCTGTAGAACCATATTTCTGTTGCTTCAAGTCTTTTCTTTACCTGTGAAGGGGATTTTCCAACATTCAATGTCATATAGGAGGGCCACTGTTATGTTTTGCATATCTCTCTGCATAGTAGTAGTTGTAGTCAGTTCTCCATGTCCTGAATAGCAATCAGATTTCCTAGGCATAGCCACCCTATGTTCACCAATTGTTCTCTATTTATACTTGTCTATCTAATTTGCATATAATACTACAATTACATAACAGTTCAGTATGATTTCTTCATTTCATACTATTTTCTTGTTTATTAATACTTTGCTTAGCTTTCAGAAGGAATCTTTCAATAATTCAACCCTTCAAATTTTGTAGTCACATCTTCTTTTCTCTATTAAAGTACTACCTAGATATTTAAATGTTCATATTTTCTTGATTCATATGTGTTGTAGAGTAGTTTTCACAGTGGAGGCTTGTATTTCACTAAGTCGGTCTTAAAAGGGTTCGACGTACAAAACGTTAGGAACTTGAAATAATAGTTAATGACGCAGCAATCTAGTTGTAGTGGTTGATACTTTAATGTCCGACATTGACTGACACACCAACTCATTGAGCCCTGGCGACTGCTACTACTACTTATTATCTGTGGGAGAGTCTATTTACAATAGAATAGGTATGTTCTAGTATAACAATATGTTTTCAATCTGGAGTTTGTATCTTGGACTGTTCTTTGTGCTGTCAACTATACATTCTGTCTTCTTACAGTTGATGGTTAGTCCTTTCTTCTTGCTTTCTTTTTATTATTTGTGTATAGCGACTCAGATTGAGAAATCGGAGTTTGAATTCCAGTTGAATCCATTACATTCACTTACATGCTAATATCCTTGGGAAAGTTTATGAATCCTCTTCTTCTCCCCCCCAGCTATGGGTAAATAGCAGAACGGACTGGGTTCTTTAATCTTGGATGGCAACTGGTCTATTGCAGAAAGAAATGGCAACCTACTGTGGGAAAAAAAAATCTGCCTCGTCAGTCATGTGTCGAAAGATACATGACCGCCTAAGCGTGTATCATGCATGGCACATAACTGACTGATTGATTCTCTGCTTTTCAGATCATTAGTAAATTAGTTAATGCTTGCTCCGTCTAGAAGACAAAAAAAAGATTAAATGATTATATCATGTACAGGAATTATAAAATACAAATCACAAAATGTAACTCTTAAAAATACTCACCTTATTTATATTTCGAGATTGTACACTCCTGCCTTCTTCATGTGTTTTTTGATCCAGGTAAACTTCAGATGCCTAAAAATGGCTGCTAGTCATAATAACTGAAACATTATGACAATAGCAACAAAGATGTGTCCATTAGTCTGAATTTAAACAATGTAAATAATGATAACTCCTCATCTGAGGAATTCAATCTGAAATCTTCCAAAGTAGTTGTCTATTGCAATTTTCCCTCTGAAAATGTTTTCTCTCAAATTATCCCATCCTTAACTCTACTTTTTTTCATATTCTTGTAAAATCTTTCCTCTTAAAAACTTCCTTATCAAATGATTCTCTCTCGCATCAAGTGAATGAGTGAACTATAGTTAATTACACTAAGGGGGAAAAAAAGACATCTTTTACAAATCTTAATTAAAATACGCTTGTATTCTTCACGATTTACAAATTACAATCCACCAATATCTTACCATCCTTGTCAATATCTTTGCCCGCATTCTTGTAAAATCTTAAGAATCTCTAAAATAAACAAACCAGTTCCTTCCCTCCTGTTTTGCTTTTTTTATTACTCCTGTCCAAATATTTTACGAAAGTTAATGAATCTTTTAAACGTCTTGGAAGAATTTTAAAAGATGTCAGATTATAGAAGAGTGACATTCAAAGATCCAAAGAAGAAACAGAAAAAACCCCAAAAGAACTAGAAACCCCCAAAATAATGATGGCATACCTGTCCTAAAGAATCTTTATGGTGCTTGGCATTCATGGAAACACGTTTATCATCCATGACTGATTCGCATCCATTTTTAAAACCCTTCACACCAAAATGGCTGCAATGGGGGTTGAATAAAATCTTCATTTTCCCCCCAGATTTCGCAATCTGTTCTCCACCATAAATCTCGTCCAGTTTGACGTCCTTTTCTTCTTTCGTCTTTCCCAAAATTTAATAGCACAGCACCGTTTAATAACCTTTGGAATAGTGCCACCAATAAAAATACCCCAAAATCATTTCATAGCAAACTACGATGGTTGCAGTAGCAATGCTGGAAACGAGATGCTTTTCTTCTCTCTCTCTCTCTCTCTCTCTCTCTCTCTCTCTCTCTCCAATATGCAGGATACAAAAAAGCTATTTCTACCAACCTTCCTCACCCACTACTTAAATAAGACCTTTCAAAATAGTCATTAATTTGATCTGTTCTTAAAGTACGCGGAAGCAAGGCTGGAAAATTATTGGCTGAGAGTTTCTTGGCACTGAAAATGAAAAAAACAGAAATGACGTGCGAATATAAGTTAAAACAAAAAATGATAAGAATGCTGGTGATGCGTTGTGAATTTAACTGAATAAAATATTTTGCAATAAATTTACTTGAATTCAGTATGCATTCATATTCATTACACTTTCATTTAAAGTAAATGAGTACCCAATGAGGATCAAATTTATTAGTAATAGCTAACAACACTAACTGTTTAACTATTTCATTACAAACGGCATACTATATAGATAATTGCTAAGATTTTGTGTTTGATACAAGACTATGTGTAGCTGCGGAAAATTTCCTGTGATTTGTTTAAAGAAGATCATAACATAGGTACACACCACAAGAGTTATTAATAGAAACCATGTCACTTTTGTTTAATAATAGATAGCATATGGAACTCAAAGAAAATAATGACATAATCAAGATGTTGACACACTGTACCAAATAACAATCACTTGAGGTACCAAGCAGCAACAATTAAAATGGATAGCACATGTAAAAGAAAATAATGACATAATCAAGATATTAATGTTCTGCACTAATTCAAATAAAGGACTGTACCAAATAATACCAAACAGCAACAATTAAAATGGATAGCACATGTAACTGAAAAGAAAATAATGACATAATCAAGATAATAATCTTCTGCACTAATTCAAATAAAGAACTGTACCAAATAACAGGAGGACTACCAACAGCAGCAACAATTAAAATGGATAGCAAATGTAACTGAAGAAAAATAATGACATAATCAAGATATTAATGTTCTGCACTAATTCAAATAAAGAACTGTACCAAATAACAGAAACCGCATCTTGAGGACTACCAAAGCAGCAACAATTAAAAATGCACATAATCAAGATATTAATGTTCTGCTAATTCAAATAAAGAACTGTACCAAATAACAGAAACCACATCACTTGAGGACTACCAAAAGCAACAATTAAAATGGATAACTGAAAGAAAATAATGACATAAAACCATAATTCAAATAAAGAAATGTACCAAATAACAGAAACCATCACTTGAGGACTACCAACAGCAGCAACAATTAAAATGGATAGCACTTGTAACTGAAAGAGAAAATAATGACATAATCAAGATATTAAAATAAAGAACAGTACCAAATAAGAGAAACCACATCACTTGAGGACTACCAACAGCAGCAACAATTAAAATGGAAGCACATGTAACTAAAGAAAATAATGACATAATCAAGATATTAATGTTCTGCACTACTTCAAATAAAGAAACCAAATAAGAGAAACCACATCCTTGAGGACTACCAACAGCAGCAACAATTAAAAAATGTAACTGAAAGAAAATAAAATGATATCAATGTTCTGCACTACTTCAAAGAACAGTACCAAATGAAACCACATCAAATAACAGCAACAATTAAAATGGATAACCTAAAAATAATGACATAATGAGGAACTGTACCAAATAACAGAAACCACATCCAACAGCAGCAACAATTAAAATGGATAGCAAATGTAACTGAAAAGAAAATAATGACATAATCAAGATATTAATGTTCTGCACTACTTCAAATAAAGAACTGTGCAAATAAGACCAAATAACAGAACCCACTGAAAGAAAATAATCATAATCAAGATATCAAGGACTACCAAAAGAACAGTACCAAATAAAATGAGGACTACCAACAGCAGCAACAATTAAAATGGATGTAACTGAAAAGAAAATAATGACATAATCAAGATATCAATGCACTACTTCAAATAAAGTTCAAAGCAAATAAAAAAAACCACATCACTTGAGGACTACCAACAGCAGCAAACAATTAAAATGGATAGCACATGTAACTGAAAGAAAATAATGACATAATCAAGATATCAAACTTCAAATAAAGAACAGTACCAAATCAAGGACTACCAACAGCAGCAACAATTAAAATGGATTCTGAAAATAACATAATCAAATATCAAGAACAAATGTACCAAATAACAGAAACCACATCTTGAGGGACTACCAACAGCAGCAACAATTAAAATGGATAGCACATGTAATTGAAAATAATGACATAATCAAGAATAATGACATCAAATCTGTACCAAATAAAGATGAGGATACCAACAGCAGCAACAATTAAAATGGTTTTGACATAATCAAGATATCAATGTTCTGCACTACTTCAAAAAAAAGAACTGTACAAATAACAGAAACCACATCTTGAGGACAACCAACAGCAGCAAAATTAAAATGGATAGCACATGTAACTGAAAGAGAAAATAATGACATAATCAAGATATCAATGTTCTGCACTACTTCAAATAAGGAACAGTACCAAATAACAGAAACCACATCACTTGAGGACTACCAACAGCAGCAACAATTAAAATGGATAGCACATGTAACTGAAATAATCAAAATAATGACATAATAAAGAACTGTACCAATTAACAGAAACCACATTAATGCAACAATTAAAATGGATGCACTACAATGTTTCAAAAATAAAGAACAGTACCAAATAACAGAAAACCACATCACTTGAGGACTACCAACAGCAGCAACAATTAAAATGGATAGCACTTGTAACTGAAAGAGAAAATAAACATAATCAAGATATCAATGTTCTGTAATAAAGAACTTCAAATAAAGAACTGTACAACCAATTAACAGAAACCACATCAAGATATCAACGTAAAATGGATGCACTAACTGAAGAGAAAATAAACATAATCAAGATATCAATGTTCTGCACTACTTCAAATAAAGAACTGTACCAAATAACAGAAACCACATCACTTGAGGACTACCAACAGCAGCAACAATTAAAATGGATATGTAACTGAAAAGAAAATAATGACATAATCAAGATATCTGAAAGTACCAAATAACAGAAAATAATGAGCAGCAAACAATAAAATGGATAATCTGAAAAGAAAATAATGATAATCAAGATAATGTTCTGCACTACTTCAAATAAAGAACTGTACCAAATGAATTCATATCACTTGGAGGACTACCAACAGCAGCAACAATTAAAATGGATAGCATGTAACTGAAAAAGAAAATAAAATAATCAAGAAACCACAAATCAAATAACAGAATTCATATCCTTGAGGACTACCAACAGGCAACAATTAAAATGGATAGCACTTGTAACTGAAAGAGAAAATAAACATAATCAAGATATCAAACAAATTAAAATGGATAGCAGCAACAATTAAAATGGATAAGAAAATAATGACATAATCAAGATATCAATGTTCTGCACTACTTCAAATAAACAGAAACCATCACTTGAGGACTACCAACAGCAGCAACAATTAAATGGATGGCACATGTAACTGAAAGAGAAAATAATGACATAATCAAGATATAATGTTCTGCACTACTTCAAATAAAGAACTGTACCAAATAAGAGAAACCACATCTTGAGGACTACCAACAGCAGCAACAATTAAAATGGATAGCAAATGTAACTGAAAAGAAAATAATGACATAATCAAGATATTAATGGCACTACAAATAAAGAACAACCAATTAACAGCTTGAGGACTACCAACAGCAGCAACAATTAAAATGGATAGCACATGTAACTGAAAAAGAAAATAATGACATAATCAAAATAATGACTTCAAAATAAAGAACTGTACCAAATCAAGGATACCAACAGCAGCAACAATTAAAATGGATGTAACTGAAAGAGAAAAAATATGACATAATCAAGATATTAATGTTCTGCACTACTTCAAATAAAGAACTGTACCAAATAACAGAAACCACATCACTTGAGGACAACCAACAGCAGCAACAATTAAAATGGATAGCACATGTAACTGAAAGAGAAAATAATGACATAATCAAGATATTGCACTACTTCAAATGTTCAGCAACAATTAAAATGGATGCACATGTAACTGAAAGAGAAAATAATGACATAATAAAGAACTGTTCTAACTTAAATAAAGAAATGTACCAAATAACAGAAACCACATCATGTAACTGAAAGAGAAAATAATGACATAATGAGGACTACCAACAGCAGAAACTATATCCAATTACCAACAGCAGCAACAATTATAATAATGACATAATAAAGATGTTAACATTCCACAACACCTAGTAGAATGTTCAGAAGGAAGCCCCTGTCACTACTGGAAAAAGCAATAACAGCTACTGGACTTGAGAAACATATTTTTCCTAAAAAGCATTTTAAGAGAAAGATTTTATAAATTTCAACCAAAAACTGTACTGGCTGCTCAGTCAATGTTTGGCAAATGTTACTTTGTTAGGAAATGGCTAATATTTTTATTACGATTTTCTTAAAGGAGGTGAAATATGAGCATTTGATGTCACCTGTATTTTGGTAGTTCAAATTTTTAATGAATGCTTTTTAAAAGAAAATCTGTTAATATATGGTGGGTATAGATAATCTGCTGATATTAACTTTGCTAAGTCTTTCTTTTTATGTACCATGTCCTTTCACGATGTAGGTGATCATGGCTCTCCACCTCCCTCTATCCCTTGCAGCTCTCAACAAGTTCCTTCCCTCTGCTTCCTCTCCCAGATGACCTTCTGTCATCTACTTGCTCAAGCCTGCTAGCTATGTCATGCATTGTTTTCCTTTGTCTCTCTTTCCCTCTATCTGACCTGTGAGTATCGGGTTCTCTAGGCCCTCCTTCCTCATTATGTGTCTCAGAAACTTCAGCTGCCTCTTCCTGATGTTAAGTATAAGCCTCCTCCTTGTTTGCAACCTCTCTAAGACTTCATCGTTGCTCACACGCTCGGTCAATTATATCCTTAGCATCCTTCTGTAGAACCACATCTCTGTCGCCTCGAGTCTCTTCTTCATTGTCCAACATTCACTGCCATGAAGAAAGACAGACATCATGTGACAGCTCAGTATTCTTTTCTTTGTTACCAAAGAAATTCTTCTGTCTTGCAATACTCTGCC